AAGCCTTCCAGACGGCAGGTGCAGCTAAACGAATGGCTGGTAGTGGTTGGCCAAAGAAAACGATGATTGATGACCGATATATTCCACGTAACACTGCACATAACACAGCACGTAACATTGCTTCACGGCAGTTCGCATGGCAGCCGGACGAGAGGTATCCCAATGTTCTGTGGTCAGGCGACCTCGTGAAGATGGCCTACTGGCCCGCTGTCCTGAACTCCTGCATACCACTGATTGCAGCTAATCGGCGGCACCGCGGTATAGAGAATAGTAGTGTAGAAACAGTGGTGTTTACAGAGGTGTAGAGAACACAGGACTGGATACCTCTTAATAGGTTCACATTCTCATTACCAATGAGAGTCTTTTCAGTCTGATAAACGAGTTTTGGCGCCAGCTGATATGGTGAGAGGTAGAGACACGCTTTCATCTCACTTAACATCAGGGGCAGAGAGCGTTGGTATGGTCCTGGCGTGCTTGTATGGGGAGGCATTATGATCAACAAACAGACAGAACTCCATATTTTCGACAGAGGTTCGCTTACCAAATATCTACTGTGATTAAGTTATCCTTTCCCACGTAAGTCTCTTCCGGAATGTTATTAGTCCCGACTTTCTTTTTATGAATGAGAATGCACGAGCATTCAGAACTCATGCTGTTGAGGACCACCTAGAAAATGAAGATATCCACAGCATGGATTGGCCAGCGTGGTCTCCTGATTTAAATCCCACTGAAGAGGTAACTGAAACAGATGCTGTTTGAAGAATGGGGATCCTTACCACAAGAACTGTTAAATAACCTGGTGCTGAATATCGACAGACAGCAAGGAATGCAGCTAGAGGAGGAACCATTGCAGCTAGAAGAGGTTACATCCATCCTAAGGCTCTTTTTGTTGTTCTTCTTTTTGGCCAGACAGTTTTTTGTACCAACGCTATTTTGTCAATAAAGCCTTTTAAGCCTTTTTCTTTTCATTCCTTACTGTGAACGTCCTGTTAATTTTCTTTTCTTTTTGTTTGGGAAGGGGATTCTGTACTTTCCTCATCCTTTAAGTACGACATTGTGCCTCTGTAGAAACCATCCTTAGAATCTCTGTTGTGACCATCCTTAGAAACGATCGTTAAAAAGGCACTGAAAATATACCACTATCGTATGCACTGGGTATGGAAAACGAAATCATTATATTATATAAACTTTCTGATTAAAAACAAATTTGCTTCATGTTATTTTAGGTAACAAAATTAACAGAAACAAAATGTTTTATTTAATTAATTATTTTAGATGTTTAATTTTGGGCTTCACCTGGTATTAAAAAATTCTGTCGAATTTTAATTTTGACTGGTGAAAAACTTTAAGGAGTCTCATGTAACCTCAACCTTACCCGAAATAAGGTTTGAAATTCACTGTCGACAAAGTAATGAAAAGAATAATATCTGTAGTAGGATCATATCGCGCAACTTTTCAAGGAATGAGAGAGTAATAAAATTGCAAGCAGTGAAACATAGCCTTCTAAACTGAGCTAGAACCTTTTCTTCCAGTAATTTTCTTCTAAAACCTTCTAGAACATTTTCTTCGCGTTCCCAACTAACATTTTCCGCAAGAATCCCAGTTTTGGCTTGTCGTTGATTCGTTTCTATCGAAGATTAAATACTTTTAGCTCTAATAAAAAAGGACACATGATTCATCTTTCACTTCAGTATTCAGCAGCAAGAATAAGGCTACTTAATTTAATATTAGTGGAAATAATGACAATATAATATTAGTGAAAATTAATAATCTATGTATTAGAGAGATTAATTAATTAAAATACATATATGGCATATTTTGGAAAAAAGAGATATTTATCAGGTTGGCAATTTTAATGATAGACAATTTTAACAATAGCAAAATTAGAGAACAGGCTTTTGGAGACTATCGTACAAATACAAATTTTGAAACAATATGAACTATTAACTGGGAGAGGATTCAACTCGGAGACACAAAATAATGGATCAAGGATTATTTGAATTACGGTAAAGCACACAATGGTTATCTGCCTAAGAGGAAGGATGGCTTCGTAAATGAACTGGCTTGAACTTTAAGGGTAACGTAAATGAACTTTAAGGGAAACTGTCCTGTGCTCACGTCACACATGAGAAAAACCACAAAAACTCACATCCGTTAGCCAGAATTTGAACCCCAGTCAAACTACTGGTGTTTAGGGAGTAGGACTGATTTTATTCTTTACTGTTAGATCGACTAGTTACTGTTATAGAATCTTGTAACAGTGTCTAGCTGATGACTACTTTTCGAAGTAGTATTAAAGAGAGAGCTGTTAGTTTTGAAGATGCCAATAAATAGTAAATGAGTTTTATTTAGATTATTACGAGTTAGGATCGCGAAAGCAGATAGATGTCAATTAAGAGTAGCAGAGTATTTGTGTAATGACAATTGTAGTTCCCGTATTGCCTATTTTGCAGTGTCTGAAAAATTTTATTGAAAACTTAGAATGCACTTTTTTCCTTTTTGAAACGGTGAGTTACTAATACATTAAATTATATTTTATCTTTCTTTGTATATTTCTGAAATTTAAGACTACTCTGATCTCTGTTGACGACAGAAACTTCCCTCAGACAGTGAAAGTCTTATCTTGGCCGCTGGTGGGCGAGATACGAAAGAGATGGAGTTGCAGAACAACACCTACCCACTAGCTGGATGCACGAGTTACTATAAACTTTGAGTTGGGAAAAAGCGCATTATCTGCCAAACGCAACAACGCAAAATATTCCTTTACATCTTTTGCATAATATCGGGAATAACATTGCATCTAAACTTATGCGAAAGTATTCATTCAAAACTAAGTTTAGCTTGACTAAGTCGCAGATTTTTCACGAATTATCATAGCATAAACTGAATAGCAATGGATATACCCGGCAACTCTGAAATTATCTGCTCGGAAAACCAGTTTTCAGAGTTAGAGATCATTTAGCACTTCAGAATTACCGTTAATTATTAAATGCTGCATTTTCATGGAAATTCTGTCTTAATAGATGGCAGTGATCAAGGTTGTGAAAAATACACTTTAAAAGATTAAATAAACTTATTGCTTTTCTTTGTTATAACTGACATCGCCTAACTATGGCTAAGGATTTCTCTCATGCGAACACTTCATTCTAAAGTTCTCGCTTTCAAAATTTCTTCACTTTTGCCACTCTGATAGGTAGAGTTAGAGCAGCTGGCTACCCTATCATTTGGGCCTAGGTTCGGATCTCGAAGAAGGGACAGCAAGTCTGTGCGGCATGAAGGCATTTAAAACTGGAGAGTCGAAAGTTCTCTCGAGATGTTGGGGCAGGAAAAGAGGGATGCGACACCCTCCAATTCGTCCCCAGGGATGTTCTACATCATTGCTGAGACGGAACTTCCCTTTTCTCACGGATGTACTTCGATCGCCCCTTGTGGTGTACCCTGAGAATCGCTGTCGGTGATGAGACGGCCAAATGGCCGAAAGTAATGGCCATTCCCAACGAATGCATTAAGTTGCAAATGCCCGGTAATTCGAAATAATATAAAGATTTCTATGATTCTGAGGCTCCCCTTTCGTCCCATATAAACATTGCTAAAAACAAAGTGCACCTCAGAACTGCAGGTTTTACCAGTTACTGATTATTGCGATAAATATTTTTTATAGTACTAATAATATGAAAAGGAAGAAGTGACCACTAGCAGAAGATTATGATTCTTCCTTGGTCATGATCTTACTACTTGTAGTCCTGTGTTTATAAGTAATCTCTTTGAGATAGGGATGAGATTTACGGAACTAAACCTTTGCCAAATCATCTGCAAAGTATTCAACAACTAATTAGTTAAGGTCTAGTAGTCATAAGGCCATTCTCTTTATGTTCTAAATACTCTATATGAATACAGTACACTGAGAACAGTATCTTCAGTTAGAGAAGTCGCTGGCTTGATGTGAAAATAGATGAACAAAAAACACGCCCCTTTATTCCATTATATCTAAGTTGTCATTACCGTTTTCACACCGATAAATATTAGTTTCTTCATTAATGATAATGGCAAAAAAAATTTCCTTCTTCAGATTTCCATACAATTCAGAGGAAGTACTCTATTAGTTTTATAGATATTGAGAATACGTTTGCAAAAGAAAACTGCATAGGAAACTCTTGCCCATCCTTTGTTAAGCTCATCAATGAAGCTATTAATCTAGTTGATATGGTTTCTTTTCTAACACACTGTTTGTCGGAAAAGAGGGGCTTAATTATTGGTCGCTTTCCATAATTTATATTTTATCTAAGATTCTACAGCTTTACAGCATGTTCGGCATTTGAGTTCAGTTCTTCAAACGCTTGAGTCTATTTTGAGCAAACTTCCAGGTAAATGTTTAAGTTATGGATCCTTTACTGGACTATGCATACCACAGTGATATACAATTTAACTTGTAGCCTGGTTTTCCACTCAGTTTCGTAGTACTTTTTCTCTCAAATTTTCCCCTCTTCAAATTCGTTGTGAAATCCAAAGACTGTCATTCAAAAAATACATATTTATCTGTTTTGTCTTTGCATAAAATTTTCGAATTTGCTAGACAGTAAATGTTAATATTTCACCAGAATGATATTTGTAAGACATTTCTGGAACAATGTCCACTGAAATTATGAATTATTTTCAAATCAGGTCTTTTCAAGTAGCGAAGCCCACAGACGGCCGAACGGTAAGATTAAAGCTTTCGGATAGATAGGTTTTAATTGCCGCCATTAAGCAAAGGCCTAATTTACTAACATCCATGTCTAGTTCGCGATTCGAATCTGAGCCCAACGGTGTGGCATTTAACCTCCATCAGCCGCTATAACATCCAGCGCACATATTTTATTGATATTTCCATAACTTTTAAAAGGCTCCTAGTAATTCCTATATATTTCCAAGACATGTATAACATGTTTGCAGTACAATAACTGTTCTTCAGAATGTTGGCATGCTTTCTTCACTTGCAATGAAATAAATTATTATTTCAGTTTCAAGGATATGGTGCTACGAGTGCGAAACGTGGTCTGACTACCGATGCAAAGATCCTTTCAATGGTACGGCTCATCCTCAAGAGCTTCCCCCTCTCAAGCGATGCGAAGGTTGCTGCGTCAAAATTGTCATGAATCAAGGAATGCGTAAGTATATCGCCGATTTCCTAAAAAAACTCACTTTCTAAGTAGTTCTACTTTGCTTTCCAGTTACCCAATACTTTCGCATAAAAGCCAATTTTTAGCAAATTTTTTACTACTGCGTTTTGAAAGTTAGCTTATGCATGAGTTCAAAACCAGTTTTAAATAATTAAATCCAAAAAATGTCATTAAAGTTGTAAAGATTATGTTAATTTTATTAACAGTTAAATTTTGAGTTAAACTTCCTTTCCTATCGATTCTTGATTTCAACTTACTACTTCCGGCCAGAACGTAGTTTTAGAATCACGTCTGAATGCTAACGAGGAAGAGCGGTATTTAACCGCGACGTTCTACAGTCTTAGAGAGAGATACCAGATATTCTGGCTGCACGCCACCTCCTTTTTAGGCTACTCTCTCGTAAGCTATTATTACGCTCGGCCGTACTTTAGGTCCTTTAAAGCTTTGTAGTGAATTAGCGTTGAGGGGCCAACTCTGTTAGAGTTTTAATAGCTTCGGCTATATCTCTTTAGTTAAGATTAGTTTAGTTTAATTCTTAGTTTTTTAAGTTCAAGCCCAAGTGTCTGCTTTATTGTTTAACTCCAAGACGGAGTTCTGTTACACTTGATTGGAATAATAAAGGGTTATTTTATCCTTCTGTCCCTTTTCCTGTCACACGAACTCAAGCGATTAATTGCTTATCAGTTCTTAAGTTTCTTCACTTTCAACGGTAACTTAGAATTACACAGTGGAGAATCCTACAAACTTTAAAAAACTAAGAACGCATTGCTTTTATTTTATTTAATCCTAATAGGCATTACTAATCAAATTTTTCAATATTGGTAACCGATTTGGGCAGTGGTTAGCAGTTCTCGGGAGGTATTTCTTATGTGAAAACAAATCCAGGTGAATGTCATCATCCTCCATTTCACCATTAACATAAGTGCCATCCGCCTCGTAGATTAATACCATCCTTAGTTCCAAACATAGCATTGCTCAACAAAAGTGAAAAGTGCTATCAAAGCGCCAAATGATGTGGAAGTCCAAAAATTGAGAGAACTGAGAAACTTGTTCATAACTACTTTGTCTTGCAGAACGTAGTGGAACTGGATTGAACTATATAGCAACTTATCGCTGAGTTCCAGTGTGAAAACGACAATGTCCACAGAAGGGTTGAAATACCCGCCTTTTATAACAGTCAACCCCTTCTCGGGCTTGCAGAAAAGCCTCCACTTGGGCTTTAAACTCGAGATAAGAAAAATAAGAAACTAACCTAAGCTAAACTGACTTAGCCGAAGCTATACACAATTACTTAACGCAATTCGCCCCTTAAATTAAATTACCCGGCGAATATCATTAGGCACGTAAAATACAGCCAAGCATAGTGACTTAACAAAAAAGTAGCCTGATGGCAAACACGCGCCATTAAGTACTCCTAAGCTCCTCTGCTGGGAGTGAAGTGAAACTTCCTTTATATACTCTCTCTACCTCATTTACATGTAACGAGATACTAAACACTCATTCTGGTAGGGAGTTGAAAAAGAGAAACAAGAATTAAAGGGAAAGGGTTTAAAAATTAAAAACTAACTCTTAGAAAATTAAAATACACCTTATAAAATTTGGGCGTCAAAAGTGCCTATTCGTTCTGCAATGTTATCATTATTTTTCGATATGGAAGCTGAGGCTGAACTAGCACTCCCGCTCAGCTCTTCTAACACGTATAGTTAAATTAGGCGACAAATTTTGAAAAATTTCAAGAAAATTTCAAAGAAGACGACAAAGCTCTTTTATCATTACACATGGGTAAATTTACAAAATAATTTCAAATTCCACTTACACACTAATTTTCAACTTTGAGCTTATTTTTGCTGCAAATCAATCTTTTACACGGATTGGCTAATATTCAGAAATATACAATAATCTTATAAGCCGGTTATTTTTAATGCAGAATGTTTATGAGAAAGCACCTCTATGTGATAAGAATTAGATTAGAAACGCAGACATTTGTAAATCAGTTCAGACTGCAAAGGAAATCTGCCACCTTTTGAATACAGGAGTGATCAATAAATTCATGTCGTTACACATTTTTAACATTATGATGATAAGAAATAAAGGAGTCTAAGAAAACTGGGGGATCATTAATTACGAAGTAAGTACAAAAAAAAGTTATTCATTGAGAAGTTTCGGAGTTAATAAGCAAGCATTTGCTTTCTATTCATTTAAATTCACAAAATATATTGGTGGGTTAAAAACCTAAATGTGAAAACTTCTAAATGTATTTAGTTTTCAATGCCATAAAATTTACTAAGAGGCATTCATTATTTTTACACCGAAATTTTTATATCTGTATATGAAGTATAAAGATACTCAAATACGATCACTGCATATAACTATAAAATATGCTTGAAATACGAATGTTTAAATGTCCAATCTCTTAGAACAGAAGTTTAAGTACAAAGAAGTATGTCAAAAGCATATGCAATTAAAATGCGGCACATATAAAAATAAATATACAGTTTATTTTGCCTATAAATTAGGTAAAATAAACTACTTTGTCTTGTTTTATTATTATTATTATATAAAGTATTTCTCCCGCCTTCCTAGCGTGCCTTCGTGGTGTAGTGGTTCTACTCGCTGGGCCGGTATTCCAGAGGTCCGTTGTTCGATTTCCGGCGAAGGCGATTACTCATTTATCATCTTGCCTGGTTCCAAAAAATACATCCTCTACAATTATACTACCTATAAATTAGGTTTGGAAAATTTTATTTAGAGACTTACAGAGGTGATTTATAAGCAAAATCTGAGTAGGCAGGATAAGCTCAAGCAAATGAAGATAAAAGTGAATTCAGTAAACGTAACAATCAGTTTATGTTGTTTACGTTTGATATATACTTGAAATGTGGAAAAGTACTTTTTATGTTCATTTAGTTGTATGCAGATACTAAATAATACGATAAGATTTCTTGTTTTTTTTTGGGGGGGGAGAGGAAGGAAAATGGCTAAAGTGATGAGAATAAGTATTTTCTTTCGGTTTTTGATTTTATTATTTTTTAATGTTTTGAAATAAATAAACTGGGGAGTCTGATAAATCGCCTAACTTTCACCGCTAGATTTTATTTTGACTTAGTGAACTGAGGGCATAGAAATAGTTAATTCAAAACAGAGTAAAAAATTAATATATAGAGCGAAATATGGTTTTTCATAAAACAGTCTGAAGCAGGATTTCTAAAACTATGCTTTTCATAGCCCTGAGGGCTCCTCGACTACTCCAAGAAAATATAAAATAGAAGCTGAATGAAAAAAATAATAACAAACAAAAAAATAGAAATAAAATAAGAAACTAGGAAATTACATTTTGAATGGAAATCTGCCAAGCTGAATTTTCTTACCTTCTGTAGCACAAATTTTTGTAACGTAAGACAGACGTCTGACTGAGCAGAACGCCGGTCTATTGCTTGCCGTGCTTTAATGGCCCTTCATTGAATTGAATGTCTGAGTGATTTCTTAGAAAAGTACATTCAAGAAACTTCTCGTTCGTTTTCATCCCTTCGAGAATTCCTAGAATCCGCTCGAAGGTTTTCGAAATTTAACCTGTTATAAATAGACGCTGGCTAATCGATTTAGAGTCCCTTCACAGTGAACGTAAATAGAGAAAACACTGTGATTTTTTAGACATTTTTCTATACTTTTGACTTTTTGTGAGGTTTAATTGTGTAATTAGTAAATAAATTAGTAAAGTGTTTGGGCTGCTCGTACATTCGAATCCTTAAACGCCAGTAGAAAGTCGTTACACTATTGACTTGGTGAAAAATGTCATATTTGGTGGAAATGCGTGCATAGGTAGCAGCATTAAAGATGGACCATATCGCTGTACTGATGAAGGTTTTAAATAAAGTTTCAAAGGCAAAGTCGACCAGAATTTTGGCTACATTTTTAAGATAATTTCAAAATCTTGTCTGAGAAAGCAAAATTAGTACTGCTCCCTTCCTAAATTACATATTTCGGAATTCTTCTCTTATCCAGGTGCCAAACAAATGCAGAAATGCAATATCAGATGTTCTTCTATCATTTTTCATCAACAGCTGAACTTGATATAAGAAAACTGTGCAAAAATACATTCACGAATATCTCATTTAATGCTCATACATCATTTCATGTTATGTCGTCATTTCATGTTTAGGCCTACTGTTGCACTACCAATGTCTTCTATTTGCATTATACTTAGAACAAAACTGAATTAGAATTATTTTCTGTAATGAATAATAAAACCATTAACTAACAAGTAATGAAACTGGAGGAATGGATCTTTCTCTTATTACTCTACCCAATGAAGTAAAATCTGTTGCTATGCAAATAGTTTTTATTCATCTCTGAGTGAGTATTTCTATATGATCAAATTTTGCCCATATCATGTGTACATGTGATAGCTGAGTAAAATGCAAAATAGTATATTAAATTTAAAAAATCTAAAAATACACTTTCTGAACATAGATAACTCATTATTTTACAGTACCTTATTATTTCTCCACTCCTCCTAGTCCCAAAACATTAATTTGCAAGACACGGTGTAGAAACATTAGGTTATTTTTGAAGCAGGAAGATGTGAAAAATGAGTAATACCCTCGCCGGAACATGAACCACGGACCTCTCGAATACGCGCCAAGTGTGCTGACCACTACATCACGAAGGCATTCTAAGAAGGCGTGGAAAATACCTTATAACAGGATAGACCTAATGTGCTCCCCCATATAAATTGTCCCTAAAAAGGTTTCCGTGAGTCACAAAGTTGTTATTCTTGTTGATAATGCTCACTTGTCTGACCTATAGTCAGCCCAAGCCCACGAAAGCAAGGAGCGCAAGTTTACCCCTGTCGTTAGCAACAGCCTTGAGCACCTTACAGATGATAGTGCGATTTAACTCAGTTCCGACCCCCACTTTTGATGAAGGGGGCCGGTCCGAGGATCGACCACCTCACTTCTCCTACCACCAACCTTTCGAAAGGACTTTCGGCTCGCCTCCTATTTAGAGTGCCACCACGCCGCTCGGACACTATACATTTACAAACATCCATGTGTTTTCCGGGATTCGAACTCGGGCCTTTCGGCACAGCAGTCAGCAACGCTAACCACTATACCGGTTGGGTGACTGAGTCACCGATTCAAATGTTTCAATGCTTGTGATGTTGCTTATTTATCACATGTATTCTATTATTAGCCCAAAAGAGCGTTAGCCCAGAAGGGCTATTAGTCTCAAAACAGGATTTTGCGTTGAATCACTATAAGAGTCTGAATCATTTTTCAGATTGTTGCCACCAAATCTTATCGCCCCGTATTATACTTAAAGAAACTAAATATTGAAGAATTAGCATGAATGTATGGGTGTTTTTCTCATTTTGAAAGAAAAAACAAGCCGTTTTGTTTCATAACTTGTAGATGGCAGTTTATTTTCAGGTATTTAATATTATTCCTTTTATACCACCTTTTAGTTCATTCCAACCTAAGAGCTTTTTCTAGGTCTTTTAGAAGATAGAGTTGTCTTTTTTTTTTTTTTTTTTTTTTTCTTTTGAATCAGCATATCTGTAAAACAATGAATGTATTCTTCTTTTCTAGCCACCGAAAGCGTACGACGAACATGTACTTCCAATCTCCAGATCAACCTATTCCTGGTGGATCACGTTTGTATGCTAGAATCGGAAGGAAAAGGTCACATGTGCTTCTGTGAAAGTGATGCCTGCAACTCAACATCTCCAGTTCACATTTCGTTGCAGCAACTTTTTGGTGCCTTTTTAATTCTCCATCTATATGCAGCCGTTAAGTCTTAGGCTTCACCCTTTTCCTCGCTTATGTGTTGTTGTAACGAAATATTTGAAGCCCGTCTCAAATCGCCAAGACATATAGCGGTTTAAAAAAAAAAGTGCAAAGCAGTATCCTTTACTAATTCATATTTACCATGGGCAAATTTGTTTAATTTTGTAGTCATATACCACTATCTTTTGGAGATTTTACACTGAATTAGATTTATTTCGAAAGGAAACGATTACGGCTTCAAAGTATATGATCAAATTTTTAGATGTGAAAAACAAAATCTGTAGAAAATATTTTTTAAAACCTTGAGAGCAAAGAGGTATTTTAAGTCTCCTTTGTCTCCCTTCCATGCGCATAGTGAGAACGGAAAATGTGATTGACTTTACGAAAGAGCATTATAACGAAAAAAATGCTCGATTACAGACAGTCCAGTTATGTTAGCTGACTTTGATTATTGCAAGGGAATGCTACACATACGAAGAAATAATAGGGTTTTTAATTCTTTGGAAGTGCTTGAAATATCCAAATAAATGTCGACCGGTAATTTTCAGTGAGAAAAAAAAGAACTTTTTTCCCCGTTGTTGTTGACGTTTTAAATAAGTAAGAGAAAAACATTTTCATAGAAAAGTAAGTACATAACTTACTGAACTTTCACTCCTTTGTTACATGAAATTGATACCGATTTATGGTTTAGACATTGGACTTATAATATCATATTTCATTAATTTGGATTAGAGACTTGCAGATTTATAACTAATGGATTTATGGCTAATGAACTTAATTTTTCCATTTTGTAAAAATCCTTAAAAAATACAGTTATCGAGGATCTCGGTGTCTATTCATTTTTCAAAATATTTTTTTTATGTGCCAACAATTCCTATCAAAAGCAGTTAGTAATGTTTTAATCACTGCGATCCTTACACGAAAATATTTACATGAAAGTTATCGAAATCAAAAATATAATATCATTGTTTTAAATACTTTTGTCGATATCTAACAATTTTCAAGCGATCCTTTATATGTCAAAATTCTTTCAGACGCCTATTTCGAGACATAATCAAAAGCCAAGAAGGATTTTGCTGCCCGAAAAGTATGTGCTTTTAACTGTTCCTATATAATTCATCATTTTCCCTGTACAGTTTATATATTCAAATAAATCTCTCCTTGCATCTGTATTCCGAAATGTTACCGAAATATTACATCAGTTCCAGAGTTAAGTACCGAAAATCCCCCCAAAAAATTCTTTTTTCTGTATTGTGGCTACATTTGTAGGAGTACTAAAGGTATAAAATCATAGAAAATAACAACTCACGAATTTTAAATCATTTGTAAAAAATTAATAGGATATTTGTTTCAAAATTGACAAATACATGATAACGAGTTGATCGGTAACAGCTACGATAAAAAATATTTTTTTTATAATCCTTTTCTTTGTTCGCTGACACTCCTAATATAAATCAAGATTCTCTCATAAACTCATCTGTGAAAGATGGAAGCCAAAAAATTATTTTGAGGTCTCAGAGATTCATATTTCATAAATTATCACATTTTCAGTAGTTTAGGGAACTCGCAACTATTTGTAATTATTGTGTATTGTTGTTAGTTTAATGCTCTGCAAAGAAGTTTATGCTCATCATATCAACCTGTTTTCTTGAGGTTAAAAAAAAAAGTTGTGCAGTAAAATATTAATGTTTAACCAATAAGTGAGCTCACGCGCTAATTAGTGTAATTTAAGAATAAGATGAATTTCACACTCCATATTTTTTACAGAAGTGCATTATTTTAACAGAAGCTCTTTTAAAATGATATTTTTAACGATAAATTTTAATGCTATGTTAATATTACAAAAATGTATATACAGACTTTTCAAAGCATAACTTTATTACAACGAATTATAAATATTTAATTCTTTTATAAACCAGTAGCTGATTACGACAAATTATTACCAAAAATTGTAATGTTGTCTTTGAGTAAGCTGACCTGTTTTTTTTTTTCCCCTCTTTCTTTTCTCCGTTTCAGATCACAGCACAATTCACATTTATTGTCAGCAGAATGCTACTTTTTTTTTTTTTCAAATCTGGGTGTTTTTGAGCAAGTATATATGCATATTAAGGAAGTTTTATATATCATATTAGAATATTTAAATAATTATACCTTTTCAAAGTGTGTTAAATACTATTTTCTAAAAGTAGGATGTGAGTACCAATTTCTTAACTAAAATCTCTGTCGAATACAGTCCTTGCCAATTGCTGTGACAATATGAAGACTGTCATATTTTTTTAAAAAAGGATAGCATTTAAAGGCAAAATATTAGTAGAAGTGAGAAACAAAAGATTAAACTACCTATATCTAAACGACATAAAAAATTTTTTGCTTCGTTACAAACTTTAAAATGACTGTTTCAGAGCAACAGCTTTTCCTTGTTTGACTACTCATTTCACTATGAAAGACATATTTTTATCATAGCCCGCTGAAAATATTGAGAGAATCTTAGTATTTTTCAATGAAAGGATTTTATGATTCTTCTGGATGCTGGATGCAAAGCAAAGCAAACTAAATTGAGTTTTCTATTTAGTCTGAAGTTACTTAGATTGCTTAAGGCTCGCTGCTGAGAAAGTATTTTCTTGTGGCTCACTACTCTCAGTAATTTTTCTGAGTATTTTATATTGGTGAAGAGTAATCTAATTTCAACTTTAGGTATTAATCTGCATCTTCTTTCATGCCAAGAATAATTTTTTCAACATCGTCACTCTGCAATCTGTTATAATTAAATGGTGCTCAGCAAACAAATCTTTGGAACAGTATTCTTTTATTAATTAAAGCATTCTTCAGACAAATTCTTTTTTTAAAAAACGTGCACCTTCTCTACACATTCTGAAAAGTCCAAACGCCAGCGCGCAGGTTGGACTTCCATGTAAAGCTTGGGTTTTTGGGTGTGTCGTTCCCCTTTTCTCGCGGGTGTGATATCTGTCTATCGCCGGTGGTGCACCCTTGGTGATGAGACGGCTAAACGACCGATGAGTTCGGTCATTTCGAAAAAATGCTTCAGAAGCAAGTGCCTTGCAGTTTCGGGATGTAAAAAAGACTTTTAAGCAATAAGATTTTAATGCATAGGTATTTAAGGCATCAACACACAATCAAATACTGTACTTGCTCGACTGCAGTGCTTTTTTGTTTTTGTTTTGCTTAGTTTCGCAAATCATTTAGCGAGATTTTTATAATAATGATTTCAATATGTTCGAAACGTCTATATCAGCTTCTATGAAACTGTGTTACCCGGAACCCTGGAATTCCGTAAAAATCACTCTGGGGGTTCCACGAAACTTCGTGCTTTGTTTTTCATAACATTCAATAAAATAACTTAATTAAAGCCTCCAAGAAATTTAAAAATATAGAATAAAAACTAATTAACCTTCGCTCCCACTTACTAATCTGGATAGTCGATGCAAATGCGACAGTCCGAAGTCGCGACGTCGGGACATTTTTTGGCGTTTTACAGTAGCCGCACATCGATGTGGGTAATTACTTGGAAACCTGGCTAATTTCTTTATTGATTTCTATACATGGGGAATCCCATAGATCTAGAAATGCAGGGAAATCCCATGTACTTGAATGTAAATCGGTTCTGCGAGTAGCCGGGCATAACGGTCTCTTGTCAATGTGTGTCGTACACAATGTAACTTGATTGAAAGGTTTTAACTTTTTGCTTATTGATAAACTTTATTGGTTCTTATAACATCTCATACTCTTCCATAAGATTAGAAGTAAAAATCACGTATCGGGTCCATTATGTAAATTATAAGGAAATCCAACCAGAATAACAGAAAACAGACAAACATTTATTTTTCGACAAGTACGCGCACAGTTACAAGAAAAATCAAAACTGCGGTTTCATTCTATCACGCGCACTTGTCCGCTTGGTGAATCACCGTTATTTATTAAATACCGCGTGATCCAGAGCACAGGCTGTTAGACGAGCTTTGCAGTATTAAAAGCTAGAAATTGTATTACGACTTCGTTTGTGTTTTACATTCTGCTGTTAACAATATTATCAACGTAAGTAGCCGTTCAAAGTCTATTTGGTCTTAAAAGCTAATTGTCACTGTATTTTTTATCTTAAAATTGTCTTCGATATTTTGTTTCAAAATGGGAGAGGTGGCTTAAAAAACGCACTTTAAAGCATTTTTCTGCAGAACTTTACTCTTCTGCTTCAGACTCAACAACTAGCTCTTTTGTTAAAGAAATTAATGATAATAATGAGAGTGATACAAATGAAATCACCCAAAAGAAATTAGGCCGATTAATGCTTCTATAAATAATCACCCCAGAGCAGCTGCTAAACAAATTTTAAAATTATGATGAAATTCACATGTCTTTAGGATTTATGAACGATAATGGTAATCCTCAGTGTGTTATATGCAGCAAAGTTCTCCCAAATAGCTCCATGGCTCCAGCTAAAACGCGTCATCATTCGGAATCTGTTCATGAAAAGTTTAAAAAAAATTGTTGACTCCGTCAATCGAAAGTGTGACGAATTCTCAAAATTAATAAGGTTTATGATTCAAGCCGCAAAAACAAAAATACAGCAAAATAAGTAGCCAAGATCCTGCTTTAGAATCACACGGTAGCTCAGCGAATCAAAGATTTAGCAGCCAGTATAAAGAAAGAACTTACTTTTCGTCTGAAATCATGTAAATTTTCATTACAAATGGATGAATCTACCAATATAATTGGACAGGCAATATTAATTGTCATCGTTAGGTATCAGCACGAAAGCGCATTACTGGAGGGGATCTTCTGTTATGCAAATTTCTACCAACACGAATCGATAGAGTGGAAATATTTGTCTCGTAAATTCTTTTTTTGAAGATAATAAAATACCATGGAACAACTGCATTGGCATTTGTAGTGATGAAGCAAAAGCCATGAGTCGCAAAATTAATGAGGTTGTACTGTCATATCAATATAACACAACCGAAAACTAATATTGGCCATAAATATTAATATAATATAAATATAATATCGCCAAAAACAATTATCTCTTAGTTGTAAGCTTGCTCTTGATAAGGTCATCAAAGTCATTAAGTTCATAAAATCTCAGCCATTAAACTATCGTTTATTCAAAATACTATGTGAAAACGTGGGAGGTATACATACGTCTCTTCTTTTGCATACTGAAGTCAGATTGTTACCTTGAAGATGCTAACACGTATTTTTGAGCTAAGGAACAATGTGCGTACTTTTCTCTTAAGAACAGAATTTCGAAATGAATTTTTTTTTATTTCCAAAGGCAAGGTACATGACATATACAAGAACATATAAAATACATAATATAATTAAACAAAACCTATCATATACAAAACTGAATACAGTAGTGAATGTCACTGACCCATGCGCAGTCTCGCAAACCAATATCGCTCAGTCTCAGATTTTTCACAAATGGCAATGCACCGCATAAAATGGTCGATATCCATATCCACTCATCTCATTAAAATTAAAATTTAAAAGGCCTATCTAAATTCATTATTTTAAGTTAACTTTTGGGTTAACTTGGAAATTACTTTTTGAAGCAAATAAATATTATTTGAACAGTCGTAATTTTTGTAGCAATTTATAGAATGTTGCATTAAAAACATACTACTGAAACAAACCAGGGGTTCCATGATAAAAATGGGCATTAAAAATGGCTCCACTTATGAAAAAGATTAAGAAACGCTGGTCTACGTAATGTGAACTGAGTTTGCTTTCCCTCTAGAGTCTTGGAGAGTATAATACAGAGATTCGAAATTTGTTCTGATTTTTAGACTGTCACATCATTTTAGCACGGT